GTGGGGAGTCTGGCTGTAACTGTGGCTGCGACTGGTGAGGCGGTGGACTCAGTAAGCTAGGAAGAAGGCCAGTAGAAGATGGGAGACTAAGAACCTGGCGAAGGACCGAGTCCGATGGCGGCAGAGACGACGGCTGCGGCGGAACGAAAAACGGGCGCCGCTGCACAGTGCCTCCAGCACTAGGACCGCTAGCTCCAGCACCCCCAGCGCCAGCACCTCCAGCTCCAGGGTCTCCAGATCCAGTGCCTCCTGCTCCAGCGCCTCCATCGCCAGGGTCTCCAGCTCCATCTCCTCCAGCTCCAGCGCCACCAGCGCCAGTGCCTCCAGCTCCACTGTCTCCAACTCCAGCTCCTCCAGCTCTAGCGCCTCCAGCGCCAATGTCTCCAGCTCCAGCTATTCCAGCTCCAGCACCTCCAACGCCAATGCCTCCAGCTCCAGGGTCTCTAGCTCTAGAGTCTCCAACACCACCAGCTCCGGCAGCTCCAGTACCTCCGGTACCTCCAGCTCCACCAGTAACTCCAGCACCTCCAAGACTAGTAGCTCCAGCACCTCCAGCTCCAGTGCCTCCAGCGGCAGAGCCTCCAGCTCCTGCAGCTCCACTCCTAAGGCGTGTGCGCTGAACAAACCACTCACGCAGCTGCTGCGGTGAGAGAGGCTCCCGCCGGGGAGACACTCGTGGCGAGGCACCTGCAGGACCTCCAGCAGACACAGTACCCCCAGGCTCAGCACCCCCAGACTCCGCACCCTTAGACTCAGCACCCCCAGGCTCCTCACCCTCAGGCTCAGCGCCCCCAGGCCCCGTACCCCCAGGCTCAGCACCCCCAGACTCCGCACCCTTAGACTCAGCACCCCTAGGCTCCGCACCCTCAGGCTCAGCACCCCCAGGCTCCGCACTCGCAGGCTCAGCAACCCCAGACGCAGAACCCCTAGACGCAGCACCTCTAGCAGCACCTGAGTCTACAGCGACCTCGGCAGGCACAGTCCCGGGGAGTGGGTCTACCTGAGACACACCTGAGGGAGCAGGACCCTGAGGGGGGAGGGGGTCTACCGGAGGGGGACCTGGAGCAAGGAAGAGCGGCGGGGGTGGGAGAGGGGCAGAGCGGTAGGGCAAGAGACGGTAAAAGGGAACCGACTCGTCAAACGTGACGTCCTGAGAGGGGAGGACACGGCGCGAGGTGGGGTGGTAAAACTGCCAGCCAGGCGCGTTAGGGGGAAAGCCAAGGAAGACGCAGGGAATAGCGCGGGCGGAGAGCTTGTCCGCGGATGTATCGCGAACAAAGGCACGAGAGCCCCAGACCCGGAACACCGACGCATCGCCAACCTTCCCCGTCCAACGCAGTGTAGGCGAGGTCTCCGGCAAGGAGGCACGGGGCCAGAGGTTGAGCTGATGCGCAGCATACCGGACCGCAAACGGCCACAGAAAATGGGGAGCAGCCACATGGATCATGGAGGTACGAGCCACCTCCATGACTAAGCCAATGCGTCGCTCAGCAACCCCATTTTGCTGCGGGGAGGCCGGAAGCGTGAATGACTGGAGGATGCCCTCCCCACGACAAAAGTCCCGCAAGAGGTCGGAGGAGAACTCACCACCTCTGTCAGATTGCAGACGTTGGACCGAAAGGTCCTTGCGGAACCGCTCGCGGAGCTGGAGACGGACTGCGCGGATCCAAGGGATCAAGACATCAAGGACCTCACCCTTGCTGCGCAAGGGGAAGACCGTGATGTAACGCGTGTAGTCGTCAACTACCAGCAGAAAGTAGCGCTCGCGGCCCTGTCCACTGACGCGGGCTGGGCCCCACACGTCCATGTGGAGAGTCTGCAGGGGAGCAGTCGTCGGGGGAAACGAGGAGGAGTGAGGAGCGGGGCGCAGCCGCCCCTCGACGGAATGAAGGCAGGGCGGGGCAGGCGAGGGCGGGAGGGGAGGCAAAGACCTGGGAAGACCAGAAACAAGGAGGTGGGAGTGCATGCCACGAAGGCGTGGCAGGGAGGGGTGCCACAGGAGAGTCTGGTGCGACAGGAGGCGACACGAGCAAGGGGCTGCTACTGGACCTGACGCGGACACCTGAGCAGACGCAAATAACTGAGGAGGCTCGGTAGTCAGTGTGTACAAACTCGACCTAGGCCGACGGGTGAACGTGGCCAGGTGACGGCTCGTCCGTGTACACGTGCAGATCGACACACGTTGACCCCCAGGAGTGGTGGTAGGGACCATCGCATCCTGGAGGGCAGCGGTACTCACTAAGTTCGTAGAGAACAAGGAAAGGTGAAGGCCTGACAGTGAGCCGGACGGAACCGCTGGACACGGGAGAACAGTGGAGGAACGGGCAAGAACTGGGCCCTCTAAGGGGTCAGCTAGTCTGACCGGAACAGGTGCAGGGAGTGGAGTGAGGGTGGTACTATCGCGAAAGAAACAACGGGAAGCACCTGAGTCAAGCGTAAAGGTGTGCAAGGCCTCAGCAGGCGCAGTACCAGGGAGAGCAGACTCACTAGCACCTAGAGAAGTAGCCTCTATACCTGGGTCAGGCGGCATACACAGGTAACAATCACCCTCAGCAATAACAGACAAGGCATACATGGCAGCAAGGATAGCATCATAGTCAAGAGCAAAGATATCAACTCCAGACCTAAGCATCTCTGACTAGCGGGGGCGCTCAGCCTCGTCACCAAACTCTGCACGCCAAGCGTCGTCAAGGCGGGAGAAGCAGCGGTGCTGAGAGTGAAACTTCCTGCATGTCTGACTAGCACGGTCATTCGTGCGAATGACATACGGGCAGCGAACACTACCCCTAGACGCCCCACGCTGAGCAAACCACTCACAAAGCTGCTGGGGCGTAGGGGTCTCGCTCCGACGCTGCTGCTGCTGCCTCTGGTCACCGCCAACCTTCCCTCTGAACAGCTCCACCCAGACCGCCACCACTGCCACCGCCACCACTCCCACTGCCGCCACCACCTCCACCCCCACCGTTGCCACCACCGCCGCCACCGAAGCCCCCACTCCGGCCACCACTCCCACCGCTGCCACCACCTCCGCCACCTCCACCGCCTCCACTGCCTCCACCACCACCACCCCCGCTGCCACCGCCACCACCCTTGCCACCCTTGCCCTTGCTGCTGTGGCGCTTCCCACTAAGAGCAGAAGCAGCCCCGACATCCTCAGCAACAAGGATGTCAACAGCAGCAGCAAAACCGTAGGAGGGGGCAAGGGGGGAGGGGGAACATCCCCTCAAAGAAGGGTGGGCAAGGAGAGCCACGAGCAGCACCTACAGGGACTACGCTAGTCTCAGCTGCGAGGAGGTGCTTCTCGAGCAGGTCGACAGTGAGGTCTGTGGGGTCAAGTGCGAGAAATCGGTCCCTGACAGCACAAAGAGAGTCAGGGAGGCAGGTGACTATGAAGTAGAGAGTGATGTACATCGGGGGTGGGTTCCTGTCAAGGAAATCTGCTGGGAGTGCAGCGCGGTAGCGAGTGTCGCTAGTGCGGAGGTGGGTAACGAGGTCCTCGACTGTGGCAAAGGCTGACAGCTCGGGAAACAGGTAGGGCAGTATAAGGCGGCCTAGAGCAGCAGTGGCAGGGGAAGAGTAACGAGCGACTACAGCGTCGTACAGGGCTTTAGCAGTCTTGTGCTGGCCAAAGTGAGCGCGTTCGGCTAATGGTAGGTGGTTGCGAACGGCTAAGCGAGCAGCAGCGTCACAGGTAAACCACTGTGAGCGAGTCGCACTGGCAGCTGTGGCGGGAGGGCCGAGAGAGGCCCGAGATGTGTGGTCAAACAACAAAACGCTGTCTCTAGAATCGCTCAGTAGGTACAGCTGTAAGTCGTCGAGCCACGTATCGAACTAGATCGGACGGCCCTCATGATTGAAGGTGAGAACACTGAGAGAAGCCATAGCGGGCAGAGCAGGGTGGCGCGCGACCAGCAGGGCAGCACGCAGGCAGGGCGGCGCTCGAGCATTAGAGCACTAGAGGAGCGTGCAGGGAAGGGTAGGGCGGTGCGACTGCCAACAGAGCGGCGCACGGGCAGCAGGGCAGCGCGCGGGCAGCAGGGCGTTGGCCAGCAGGGCGGCGCACAGCAGGGCGGGCAGCAGCAGGGCAACGCGGGCAGGAGGGCGCCGGACAGCAGGGCTGCGCGCAGCAGGGCGCCGGCCAGCAGGGCTGCGCGCAGCAGGGCGGGCAGCAGCAGGGCGGCGCGCGGGTGCAAAGGGCGGCGCGGGCTGCAAGGGGCGGCGAGCGGGCTGCAAAGGGCGGCGCGGCGGGCTGCAAAAGGGCGGCACGCAGGCTGCAAAGGGCGACGCGGCTGCCAGCAGGGCGGCGCGCGGGTAAGGCAGGGCGGGCAGCAGCAGGGCGGCGCGCGGGTTGCAAAGGGCGGCGCGCGGGCTGCAAAGGGCGGCGCGGCGGGCTGCAAAGGGCGGCACGTGGGCTGCTATGGGCGGCGCGGCGGCCAGCAGGGCGGCGCGACAGGCAGGGCAGGGCGGGGCAGGGCAGCGCGACTAGTGGGGCAGCGCTCTGTGGTGGGCCCTAAAAAAAAATCGGTCCTAGGACAGGGCCTGCTCTAAAACCATGTCAGAATACTGAACGAGAATGAATTGCATTGAGCAGAAAGTTGGTACAAGTACTAACCCTAATTGGGTTGTACCCCTTATGGACTACCCCACTACAGCCTACACAATGTAAGCATTATAACATTTTGACACCTGGCCGTGTCAAAGCATAAATGAGTAGGGTGTTATTGCAATGCGAGCTGTTAACAAAAGCACAGATCACCTCATGGAAGCACAAATCTTGGGAGGATACACCCCCTCGGCATTAGGTGGCGAATGGAAGCAAGGTGGAACAGAGGTTGATTCCGTGGGAAAAATAAGGCAATGCGTGTTTGAGCAGCAGAGTAGGGGGTGGATAGGACATGTTGAGATCATGTGAGATGATGCGAGGGAGGGCTGTGATGAAATGGCAGTGAACTTAGTGTGCGCGCGCGCGCTGTGAGGTGCGAGATTGGAAAACGAGGGCGCTACCAGGAGGCCCCGCGCGGGGAGTTGAAGGCACGCAGCAGGCCCATGAGGGTGGGCGAGATGGTGGGCGGCGACAGCGCCTCGTCGTCCGTGTGTCGCATCATGTCCAGCGGCCGCCTCACTGGCACAAATATCTCCGGGGGCTCCGCCTCCCCGATGCCGCTGCCCATGCCCGACCCCTCTGCTGCCCCCGCACCCGCCCCCGACTGGCAGGTGTCACGAGCAGGGGCGTCTGAGGACGACAGGGCTGTGCGCTGGGTGGAGGCGGGCGCTGGGTGAGGTGCAGGTGCGGGGGAGGCAGTGAGTGCGGGCACAGGTGGAGGGAGGGGCAGGTCGAGGTCCATCTCCATGTGCACCGCCTTGTACCTCGGCTCCCCTCCCCCTCGCTGCGCCTCTGCCCTGTTGGGCACTGGCAGCGCCTGCAGCTGCAGCAGCACGGGGTCCTGTGTGGGGGGTTGGGCCGCTGCTGGCGGAGAGGGAGCAGGCGGGCAGGCAGGCGGGGAGGAGAAGGGGGGCGCGTGGTTCATCTCGTGTGAGTCGTTCGGCCGCGCTGCTGCCTTGGGTGAGTGCACTCCTGCGAGTGTGGCAGCAAAGGGGCCCCACATTATCCTGGACGCGCCCTGCTGGCCGTGCTGCTCGCTGGCCTCCTCATGCCACTTGAATTCTTGCGCATCCACTGCTGCTTGCGCCGGCAGTGTCAGGGAAGGCACGCCCGCTGACTCCCCCACATTGCCCATGCTCTGCTCGCCCCTGCCTCGATGCTCGCCCTCGCCCCTACCTCCCCCTTCTCCACCATGCTCCCCCCCACCTCCATCTACCTCCCCCAACTCTCTCTCGCCTCCCAACCCCTCCTCCCCTGCTCCTTCATCCCGTAACTCCCCTGCACAAACCCCCTCTTCCCCCCCTCGCCCGTTTCCAACGAAGCCACTGTCCCCGCCCCCTGCCACTGCTGGCAGGGCGGTGGCGCCGGCACAAGTGTGAGTGGCAGCAGCAGCGGTGTGCGGCCACAGGGAGGTGCTGGGCGGCCAGGCGGCACGCGGGGCAGAGCGAGAGGCGACGGAAGCGAGGGGTGAGATGGGCGAGGTGAGAGCGCCAAAGTGACTGCCCGCTGCTGGCACGCTGCTGGGGGTGCCTGCACCGTCCTCTCCACTGCCAGTACCTGCTGCTGCTGCTGCTGCTGCTGCTGCTGCTGCTGCGGCATAGCGAGGCCAGGTGGTAGGAGGGGCGGCGGCGGATGCAGCAGGGCTGAAGAGGGAAGCCGCTGGCGTGAACGGGTGTTTGGTGGCGGCAGCAGGGGAGCAGGGCGAGGGCAGGGAGGAGTGGCGGGGAGTGGCGGTCTCGCCCTGCATGGAGCAGCTGCGCTCCAAGGCGCGTGCACTCGCATCCGTGCACGCCAACACCGCCATGCCACCATGCTCCGATGCGTCTGTGGTGCTGGGAATGATGATGCCGAACCCACCAAACTCACCAGCATCCTCATCCTCATCGCCCTCACCCTGGCCATTGCCATTGCTGCGCGTATTCGCCATGGGTCCACGGTCTCCGTTGTGATGAGAATCATCTCGCTCATCCGCGTGCTTGGGTTGTGCTGCTGCTGCTGCCGTTAATGCACCCTCACCCTCTCTTGCTGCTCCCAACCCCGCCCCTTGCTTGTCGCTCTCCTCCCCCACGTGCCTGCCTTCTCCATATGATCCTGGGTCTCGCCTCCCTGCACCCGCTGCTGCCAAGCTGCTGCCACCAGTGACGCCAGCACCATCACCGCGTCCATTGCCATGCCCCATGCCACCACCACCACCACCACCAGCAACAGCAGCAGCAGCAGCGCGAAGGGCACCCTTGCCCCCGCGGCTGGGCTGCCAAGGGCGCGCAGGTGCAGAGGGGTCGGATGGGGAAGGCCCGCCGCTGCTGGTGCTCATGAGGCCCGAGGAGGAGGGTGCGGGGCGGTGGCGTGAGAGGGGGCGGTCGTGGTTGTGTGCGCCGTTGTAGAAGACACGGAACTTGCTCGGGTCGTCGTTGCACCGCTCCACCTGCCTCAGCGCCGGGCAGCGCAGCCCTCGCTTGAGCGAGCACTTGTAGTACTCGCTGCCAGGACCACACACACACATGCCGCGGTGGGGGCATTGGGAGGCGAGAATGTGAGGGGCGGAAGAGATTGGGGCGGTAACGACCGGGGAGGAGTACGATAGCATGGGAAGGAATGAGGGGAGTTGGTGCAGCAGAGAATGTGGTGGGGCATGCATGGTGGCAAGTGCCCTGTGTGGCATGGCTGACCGTGGGAAGTAGTTATCAACGATGGGCTTCTCCCCGTACTTGCGCCAGTGCCACCCGTCGTCCAGCGATGTCAGGATCACCGCATCCTCCGTTGCTGCTCTCGGCCTGTAGGTGTGCATGGCACAGTGGGAGGGGGGAAGATTGAGTGGCAGGCAACCAGAGCTGCAATAAGCATAGCAAGTGAGAAACCGCAAATTGCCATGGCACGGCGCACCTCTTGATGCGCTTGCTGGCATCACTGGCGTTGCCCCCCTTGGAGCCTCTGGTGCCCCCTGTGTCCACCGACATCTCTGATGCGCGCCGTCGAACCCCCACCCCTCCCCTACCACTCTCGCCGCCTGCACTGCCCCCACCATACGCTGCTCCCCGTGCATCTCCATTGGCCATGCGCCCTGCAACATCGCCCCCACGAGCCCTTGGCGGCCCAGCAGCAGGCGTGGAAGATGCGGCGAGTGGGTTTGGAGTGGAGCCCTCAGTGTTGCCACGTCCCTGCACTGCACCCACCCCCGCCACCACGCCCTGCCACCCTGCACCTACTTGTGCTGACCATGCTGTCTCCCCTGCCGCCCCTGCTGCGCCCACCCCATGACCACCCAGCCCTTCCCCGGAGCCCCATGCGCCTCCCTTGACTGCTCCCGTGCCCCCCCCCCCTTCCCTTGCACCGTCCGTGCCCGCTGTGCTCTCCTGCCGCTCCAGCGCTGCAACCCCATACTCCCACTCGCCGCCCATGCTGCCACCACCACCACCGCGCACCGCACTGCCACCCACAGCAGCAGGGGCAGCGGGGGAGGTGGGTGCAGCTTGGGAGGGAAGAGTGGGTAGGGTGGAAGTGGGCGAGGGGGTGAGATCCCTGGGAGACATGGGTGGGCGCACAGGGGATGCACCGCAGCCATCACTGCCACTGCCCTCACCACCACTGCTGCCGCCGCTGTCACTACCGCTGCCACCAGCACACTGTTCCCCGATCCCTGCCCGTGCCACCCTGCCTTGCCCCTCACGCTGTGCTGCGGCCTGGGAGTCGGGCTGTGGGGATGGACTGCACGAATGGCTGTGCTGCTGCTGCTGCTGCTGCTGCTGTGGCGTGTGTGGTGAATCGAGGCCAGACGAGGCAGCCGGGCGAGGGGAAGGAGGGAGCTGGGCCATGCAGCCTGCGTCCTCTGCCACGCCCTGCTGCTGCCTGCTGTTCCCACCCCTCACACCGTCGCCGTGCTGCTGCCCTGCGGGCCCCTCTTCTCCTGACTGCACCCCTGTCCTCCCACGCACATCCTTACCATCGCCCTTCTCTCCTCGCCCCCCACTCGTCCCCTGCGCTGTGTACACACGCATGTCCCCTTCCTGCCCCATGCCCGCCGCCCCAGCAGCAGCAGCAGCAGCAGCAGCAAGGGTGGAGGCAGGGTTGCAGTGAGAGCGGGGGCGGGGGGCCGCATGGGCGGGCACGGTGAGGTCGTGCTCAGAGGGCCATGAGGACGCCGTGCTCAGAGTGGGCGACGCCGTGCCATCCGCCACGCGCACACCCGCCCCGCCACCTCCCGCCATCGCCACGCGCCCTTCTCCCCCACCGCCCACGTCCAGCGCCTGCTGTTCCGCCTTGGCGGCCCACCCATGCTGACCCGCCACACCCTCCGCCTGCGCCTGCCCCTGAGCGTCCCTCTGCGCGTGGCCACGGCTGCCGCTTGCAGGCTTGGCAGTGAGCCCCGCGCCCCACGGAGTGTGCGCACGCAGCCCGCTGGGGCTGGCCTGCACGTCACTGCCCACCCCGCCCACAGCAAACGCAAAGCCTGAGCCCTGGCTCTGACTGCCCCCGCCTCCTGCTGCCACCCTCGCCTCCCGCCCTGCCTCTGCACTCGCCATAGCAGCGACGCCCTGCACCCCTTGCCCACCCTTCCATCCCGCCTGGCCCTCTGTGCCTCCTGTCTGCATGCCCGGCCCACCATTCAGTTGCTCACTCGCCCAAGGGCGCCTCTCTGCCATCGCCATTAGCCCTGCTGCCCCGTAAGACCCTGACGCCTGCATTGCTGCACCCCCTGCTGCCCCTCGCTCAACCTGCCCCTGCCCCTGCCCCTGCCCCTGCCCCTGCCCCTGCCCCTGCCCCTGCCCCTGCCCCTGCCCCTGCCCCTGCCCCTGCCCCTGCCCCTGCCCCTGCCCCTGCCCCTGCCCCTGCCCCTGCCCCTGCCCCTGCCCCTGCCCCTGCCCCTGCCCCTGCCCCTGCCCCTGCCCCTGCCCCTGCCCCTGCCCCTGCCCCTGCCCCTGCCCCTGCCCCTGCCCCTGCCCCTGCCCCTGCCCCTGCCCCTGCCCCTGCCCCTGCCCCTGCCCCTGCCCCTGCCCCTGCCCCTGCCCCTGCCCCTGCCCCTGCCCCTGCCCCTGCCCCTGCCCCTGCCCCTGCCCCTGCCCCTGCCCCTGCCCCTGCCCCTGCCCCTGCCCCTGCCCCTGCCCCTGCCCCTGCCCCTGCCCCTGCCCCTGCCCCTGCCCCTGCCCCTGCCCCTGCCCCTGCCCCTGCCCCTGCCCCTGCCCCTGCCCCTGCCCCTGCCCCTGCCCCTGCCCCTGCCCCTGCACAAGGAACCCCGGTGCATGGGCGCGGGGCTTATTTGTCTCCCCCATAGACCCCTGTCCCACTCCCTGCAACCCATGCTGCTCTTCCAGCCCCCCCTGCTGCTGCTGCAGGTGACTGTACAGCAGTTGTTGCAGCTGCGGAGGAAGCTGGCCTTGATTCTGCTGTTGAAGCAAATGCAGCAACGCTTGCTGTTGCTGCTTTTGTTGTTGCTGCTGCAGCTGCTGCTGTTGCTGCTGTTGCTGCTGTTGCTGCTGTTGCTGCTGTTGCTGCTGTTGCTGCTGTTGTTGCCACTGTTGCTGCTCCTGCTCCAGCAGCTGCTGTTGTGACTGTTGCTGCTTCTGCCCTGGCTGTGGCAATTGAATGACCTGTTGTAATTCGTGATGACGATGCATTGGAATTGCCTGATTCTGCTGCTGCTGCTGCTGCTGCTGCTGCTGCTGCTGCTGCTGCTGCTGCGGCTGCTGTTTATGCTGAGCCGTCAAGGGAGTGAGTGGCGTGGAGGCGACGAGTCGTTGGCAGGCGGCGAAGCACTCCATGCCCTGGCCACAGAATCGCTCTATCTTCCTGCGCAGAATGCTGGGCAAGGGAGGGGATGGATACCACGTGCGACAAAAAAAACATGCACGGGAATAGTGTGGGAACAGTAACGAGGACGAGGAGCAAATTGGGAAAAGAGAGGGCCAGAGTGGGGCTGCTGAAAGCCCACATACAAGTGAGGAGGACATGCGGTTCTTCCCCCTTCTCTCCCATTCCCTCTCCATTCCCTCCCTCCCTGCCTCTCTTTTTCGCTCATGCATCGCCTGGCTGCAAACCACTCCCGCATTGCTGGGGGACGGCCAGTCCCCTCACCCCATGGCAACAAGTGCACGTACATCACCAGCTCTTTGCTCTCCTCCCAGTCGCCGCTATTGCCGCCCATGCCTGTCCCGCCCGGTGCGCGCCAGTGCTGTGTGCAGGCGAGCTCAACGCACAGCAGGTCCACGTGCAGCCTCAGCCGCTCCGACAGCTGCACTGCCGCTGCCGCAGCCGCCCTCAGCGTCTCCAGCCCCTCTTCCCCTTCCGCCTCCCCTCCGCCCTGCGCCTGTCCTTGCAAGCGCTGCCCTGCCTCTGGCGCCAGGGCTTGAGTGCGCGGGTCCAATGAGCCGCCTGCCCTGCCCTCTGCCCCTGCTTCCCCTCCCCTCACACCCCGTGCCTCCCCCAAGCTCGCGCCACCAATGCGCCCCTGACACGCGCGTGCACTGTCCCCCAGCCCGACCATCCCCGCGCGCGCTGCGCCATGACTGCTATTCACACAGCTGCTGGCGCCCACCACGCCCGCCGCTGCTGGAATTTTCTCCCTCTGCGCACCTCCGTCAAGCCCGCGCTCACACTCCCCTACCCCGTCCTTCCCCGTGACAGACGCAACGCCAGGACTGCTGGATGACCGGGGCCGCCCTCTCACTCCGTTGCAGGCGTAACCCCCCCACATCGCGCGCTCGACCGGCTCCGCTTCCCTCGAGTTGCCGCCCGCCACCTCTAAGCCCCCCTCGTCTGCGCCCCCTAAAGCGCCAAGCACGTCCTTCCCATTCAAGTCCGCCCCTCTCCGCACTTCGCCGCACACCTGCCCGCCCAACAAGCTCTCCGCGCCGGCGGGACCTGCTGCACCGCAACTCTGCGCAACGACGGGCGCGGGGCTCCACACACGCCCCGCCGTCCACTGCCCGAGCAGGTCCGCCAATCGACTGCTGCCGCCCAGCCATGTGCCGCTCGCCGTGCGCAGCGGGCCTGCTGTGTCGGCGGCGGGATGTGATTCTGGCAACACCCCCGCGCGGGACAGCGGCGCCCAGCCCGCCGCGCCCGCGAAGCTGGACGACGCAGCGCCAGCGGCGGCGGCAGCACTGTCGGAGTTAGAAGAGAGGTGCGACGAGAGGAGAGCCGCGGTGCCCGGGTCCTGCTGAACAACCGCACCCTCCATGGACAGCGGCGCTTGCTGCTGCTGCTGCTGCTGCTGCTGCTGCTGCTGCTGCTGCTGCTGCTGCTGCTGCTGCTGCTGCTGCTGCTGCTGCTGTTGCTGCTGCTGCTGATGCTGCGGCTGCTGCTGTTGTGATGAGAGCAATTGGACGAGGCCTAGAAGCTCGTCCATCGAAGCCCCTCCAGAGTGCGGAAACATGCCCTTAGGACACCGTGCGTAATGAGTGGCGAACCGTTAGGCGAGCGTGAGCCAGTCTTCCGCGATAAATGAGCCCGTTTAGATAGGCGAGTAGTGTGTGTGGTTGGCGAGTTCTGTGTGATCGGCGACGTATGTGTGACTGGCGAGTGGTCTGATAGACGAGCAGAGCGTGGGTTGCAAGTGTGTGAGTATGGGACGCGGACTTGATTATACTAAGGTAAGCAGTGGGTTGTTAATTTGGCAGTCGATTAGCTAAACAGGTAACCTCTGGACAGCCTTTCTGACCTCCCCTACCCTCACCGTTGGAGCGAGGGTCGCGGAATCGTGTGATGTGGTTGATTGGTTCACTCGCACCGCAACAGTTGATTCTGTGTGTAAGGAATTTTCCGGATTCCTTACTGGGTCACACTGTACGCGTACAACCCCGACTTTCGGAAAACCAGGCTCGGCCCGCCGACCTCGCCTTCCGAGCCACCACCGCGTCGCTTTCGGGTTTTCCAACCCCGAACCTGCACCCAACCATCTCGCGACCCCGCGACCTCGGCCTAGCTAGCCTTGCTATATTGTGCCTAGGCCTCGTTGTTCATTCAGACGTTGTAATCACTTCCGCATTATTGAGTTCTGCGCACTCTTTCCTTTCACAACTTATAACACTTGGTATCAGAGCCTAAAGTCCTAGGTTACCCTCGCGTTTCCGGGGTAGTTTGTAGAAGGGGAGCGATAGACTTGGTGGGATGTTAAGCGGTCGGCCCGTGGAATAGATCTGATTATTCCACTCCGACTACGATAGCATTAACGCCTTCACCGAAGTCAGAAAAATCGCGAGCCACCCCCTGCCCGTTCGACGAAGCCTGAGGCACATGGAGCAGGCCGAGTTCAACGAGTTCATGCAACAGTTCCGTGCGATGCAGGCCAACTTGCAGGGTATGACTGCAGAGATGGAGCGTCTACGGAAGGAAAACGCCGAACTACACCAGGCGCGTGGTGAAGCGCGCCAGGAGTCGCCTGTCGTGGACGACGCAAGTAGCAGCACTACACCAGATGAGCGGGTCTGGAGCGAGCTGGAAGGCGAGATGGATGCGGACGAAGCGAGGCAGGCGCAGCAGGAACAGTCGCCACAACAATCGCGTGCAGTACCACCACGTGCAGCAGCGACGACGACGGCGACGCCAGCAGCAATGCCAATGGCCCTGATGGCAGCAACGGCTTTTGTGAAAATCAAGCCGACAAACCCGCCCCCATTTAACCCGAGTGACAAGTTTGTCACTGTTTCCGCATGGTTATTCGGTGTGGAAGTGTTCTTTAATGCTGCTATGATTTATGACGACGCCACCCGCATTAATTTCGCAATTTCACTGTTGCGAGGACCTGCGCTGGAGTGGTGGAGGCGAACGCTGCAACACGAAGGGACTTCGGCAGGGATAGCACGTGCGAACGACGGGACTTCAACACCTGTCACGCATCAGGCAACATCGATTTTCGGGACGGCCACGATACGCATATGGAAGGAGTGGGGCGCCGCCTTGCGAACCAGATTCGAGCACGTATCCGCCTCGGACTCTGCTCGCATGCAGCTGCGTACCTGGAAGCAGCTGACTTCAGTCCAAGACTACACCAGCAAATTCTGCAACTTGGCGGACCAGGTGGACGACATGAGCGACGCGGAGCGGTTGGATCGCTAAGTGGCGGGCCTGAAATACGAGATACAGTACGAGGTCCGACGAACCCGGCCACGCAGCTTCAACGACGCCGTCCGGGGAGCCGAGTCAACGGATGCGCTGATGCAGTGGGCGAGATCGAGCTCCCGGGAGGGCCCTCGATTTCGTGGACCGATTCAGCAGCCCACGATCAACGGCGTGGATGCACCTAGCCGAGCCCTTGGGCCGTGCTTTTTATGCAACCAGCTGGGCCACCTGAAAAAAGACTGCCCGAGGCTTAAGCAGGGGAAGAAGAACGACGGAGAAGGGTCGGGAAAAGATACGAGTCAGTAGCAGACGGGCCACCTACTGACGAGACCCTGTCGCCCGACAATCACCATCCACACCGGGTCGTGGTACCGATCAGCGCTATCGACCAGAACCGGACGAATAACGTGGGTGAACACGTGGACTACCCTGTGCTGGTGGTAGGGAGGGTTAACGGTTATAAAATTAAAATTTTCGTTGACGGTGGGGCGAGCCACAGTCTCGTCAACCTGGCAACGGCCAAAAAAATAGGGGTGAAGCTGACCAGGTGTCTGCCAGAGATCGATGCAAGGTTGGTGGACGGGACACCGCTGGCCATCCGAGATGAGGCGCGAAAAATTCGGATACAGTGCAGCGACAAATTCGGGTTTGGCATGAGGATGTTGGCGACGACGTTGGACGGCTGCGATGTGCTGCTGGGGAGGGATTGGCTGCAGCGCTTCAATCCGACGATCGACTGGACGACTGGGGCGTGCGTCGTGCGAGGATACGGAGGGAAGACGACGCTTCCGAAATGGACGGAGCCGGAGCCGGTGACGACACGTGTCAACGCGGTCAACATGCAGCGTGCGATGAACAGCGGAGCTCAGGCCTTCTTAGTGCACCTGTACGAAGTGGCAGCTTCCGAGAAAATCGCGGACATCGACACCCTCTGCGCGGCAGTCCCCGAGGAATTGGCGAGCATTATTCGGAAGTATCCCGAAATTTTCGCGGATGACCTCCCGGATGGTTTGCCCCCCCAACGACCTGAGGATCATCGGATCCAACTGGGGCCCGGCGCGCAACCTACTGTGCGGACACAGTGGCGGCTCAGTCAACCAGAACTCGCCGAGTTGCGGGCCCAGCTGGATTACCTGCTCGCCAAGGGATTTATCCGGCCCAGCACGTCGCCGTATGCAGCACCGATACTGTTCACGCCGAAGAAGGACGGTGGCCTACGCATGTGCATTGATTATCGGGCGCTGAATCGGGTCACGATAAAGTCGCGTTACCCGATCCCGCGAACCGACGATCTGCTGGATCAACTTCGCGGAGCTCGATATTTTTCGAAAATCGACCTGCGAGGAGGCTACCACCAAATTCGCGTATTCGCCGACGACTGCCCGAAGACCGCTTTCCGCACACGCTACGGCAGTTACGAGTTCACAGTGATGCCGTTCGGCCTGACAAACGCGCCCTCGACGTTCCAGCTCACCATGAATGGAATTTTTCGGGACATGCTGGACAAGAAGGTCATCGTGTACCTGGACGATATACTGGTGTACAGCGCGACAAAAGAGGACCATCTGCGGGATTTAGAGGAGGTGTTCCGGCGTTTACAGGGGCATCGGCTAATTACAAAAGGGTCTAACAGTGAGTTCCTGAAGCCGGAATTAGAGTTTTTGGGGCATGTGGTTTCTGGCGAAGGGATTAAAATCGACCCGCGTAAGGTGGACGCCATCGTTCAGTGGAAGCCGCCTACTAATATCCCTGAGTTGCAAAGTTTTCTGGGGTTTGTTAACTACGTTCGTCGTTTTGTACCCAATATGGCAGGGATAACCAAGCCGCTGACCGACCTGCTGCACCACGACAGCGTTTTCAGGTGGGGGGAGAGGGAGCAATCCGCCTTCGACGCCCTCAAAAACATTTTGGGTTCACCCCCGGTACTCCGCCTCGCCGATCCATCTCGACCGTTCGAAGTCGTCACGGACGCCAGCGATTTCGCCGTCGGCGCCGTCCTGCTACAGGACTTCGGCCAAGGGCTGCAACCCATCGCCTACGAGTCACGCAAGATGCAGCCACCTGAGCGCAACTACCCAGTCCACGACAAAGAAATGCTGGCCATCGTCCATGCATTTCGCGTCTGGCGCTGCTACCTCACAGGAGCCGACGTGACGATTCGGACCGACCATAAATCACTACAGTACATGCGCACGCAACCGACACTCAACCCGCGACAAATCCGGTGGTTGGACTTCCTCGAATCCAATTTCCGGTACACCATCACGTACAAAAAGGGCGCCAACAACATCGCCGACGCCCTTACCCGACCATCCATGCAAAACGCGGCAGTACTAATCGCCCACACCAACCCGATGCTAACAGGACTATTCACCCACGGCTACAAGATCGACAGGTTTTTTCGGAACCCGCAACAACAGGCTGCTACACCGCACGGCAAATACTACCTAAAAACCGGTACGAACCGGATTTGGGTACCAGCATACCAGCCTTTACGGGAGCTGCTGACGCAGGAGGTTCACGACTCCAACCTCTCCGGGCATTTCGGCACCGACAAGACACTGAAGCTGCTGCAGCGGAATTATTACTGGCCGGACATGCAGACCGATGTGCAGCGCTACGTGTCAACTTGCCCGACCTGCCAAGCAATGAAGTCGTCGCGACAAAGGCCGGCCAGACTGCTGCAACCCCTCGCGCCACCCGAACGACCGTGGCAACAGGTGACGATGGATTTCGTCACGGGGCTCCCAGCTGGCACAAGTGGCAACGACTCGGTGTTGGTCGTCGTTGATCGCCTAACGAAGATGGCGCATTTCGCCCCATGCCGAACGACGATCACAGCCGAAGATACAGCCAAACTGTTCATCTCCACCGTCGTACGCCTACACGGGTTACCTTCGGCGATCATCAGCGATCGTGATCCGAAATTTACGTCGAAGTTCTGGCAGGAAACGTGGGCACAGTACGGTACCTGCCTGCAGTTTTCGTCGTCATACCACCCGCAAACCGACGGACAGACGGAACGGACAAATCAGACCATGGAACAGCTGATTCGCACCAACTGCCCCGACATTCGCAAGTGGGAAGATTCGCTGCCGATGCTGGAATTCGCGTACAACAACGCCCCGTCGGCCACGACTAAACAATCACCCTTCTTCCTGAATTACGGGATAGACCCCGTGGTACCCTCTTCAACGACTGTGGACAACCCGGTACCAAGATCGCAGCAGTTTGTCACGGAACTGCAAACCGCCCGAACGAAAGCAGCCGATTTCATTCGCAAGGCTAATACCACGGCCAGTCGCCAGGCGGATAAACACCGACGAAATTTACCCTTCCGCACAGGGCAGGTTGTACTTGTGGACACCAAGAACCTTCGGCTGCCGCAGCCCGCGAAATTAGGGCCCCGATACGTGGGACCATTCCGTATCATCCAGATGGTGACACCTGTCACCGCGAAGCTGCTGCTGCCCGACGATTGGAAAATCCATGACGCCTTCCACGTCGGCCTGTTGCGTCATTACGAACAGCCGCAGTCGCCAGCTGTTGCTCGACCAACCATCGCGCCGACCACTCGCCCCGTGGCAGAGCCAACGCTGGAACCTTGGAAGATTCTTAACCATCGCGTGGATGTGACTGCCGCCGGCCGCTCGGTGAAATTACTACTTCGCTGGAAAGACCGCACGAGCAAAGACGACACGTATGTCGCTGCTGATTCGCTACTGGGACACCCGGTTTTGGACGTTTACCTGGCCCGCCGAGGTGTTTCGGATATTCACCACCTTTCTTAAAGGGGGGGGTAGTGTAAGGAATTTTCCGGATTCCTTACTGGGTCACACTGTACGCGTACAACCCCGACTTTCGGAAAACCAGGCTCGGCCCGCCGACCTCGCCTTCCGAGCCACCACCGCGTCGCTTTCGGGTTTTCCAACCCCGAACCTGCACCCAACCATCTCGCGACCCCGCGACCTCGGCCTAGCTAGCCTTGCTATATTGTGCCTAGGCCTCGTTGTTCATTCAGACGTTGTAATCACTTCCGCATTATTGAGTTCTGCGCACTCTTTCCTTTCACAACTTATAACACTGTGACCCACTGTAAGGAATTCTGTGACCCAACAGTTGCCGTGAATTTCCGGTCGTGAAAAATGGGTCAGTGCTGTATCCGTGGGTGAATAGGCTTGTTAATAGTGGGTTGGTTTGGGCGAGTAGGATGGCGCGGAGTTGGGCGGCAGGGCGTGTGAGTGCGTCGGCGATGTTTGATGCGACTTTTTTGTACGTGACTGTGTAGTGGAAGTTGGACTCCAGATAGTCCAACCAGCGGATCTGTCGCGGGTTGAGATTCGGTTGGGCGCGGAGGTACTGTAGTGATCGGTGATCTGTCCGTACTGTCAAGTCGGCGCCAGTCAGGTAGCATCGCCACACTTTGAACGCGTGCACGATCGCCAGCATTTCGCGGTCGTATATCGGGTAATTGTGTTCGGGCGGGTGCAGCTTGCGGGACTCGTACGCGATTGGCTGGAGGCCGTTCCCGAAGTCCTGCAACATTACAACTCCCACGGCGATGTCACTGGCGTCGGTGACGAGCTCGAACGGACGGTGCGGATCTGCGATGTGAAGCACGGGCGGCGAGCACAAAATTTGTTTGAGGGCCGAGAAGGCAGCTTGCTCTTTTTCCCCCCACGTGTACTCAATCCCCTTCCTCAGCAGGTCGGTCAACTGAGCAGTCAACTTCGCCATGTCGGGGACGAACCGGCACACGTAGTTGACGAACCCCAAAAAGCTCTGCAACTCGGTCAAGTTTGTCGGCGCGTGCCACGCTTGAATCGTCGCGATCTTCTTCGGGTCTATTTCCACTCCTTCAGCTGAAATAATGTGTCCCAAAAACTCCAGTCTGTCCTGTAAAAACTCACACTTATATGTTTTCGTCAGTAGGCGGTTCTGACTCAGTATTTTAAAAAGTGCTTCAATGTCCTGTAGGTGCTGTACTTTGTCTGGGCTGTAAATCAGTATGTCGTCGAGGTACACGATGACGCACTTGTCTAAAAGCGGGAGGAATGCTTCGTTCATGGTCATTTGAAAGGTTTCAGGGGCGTTGGTCAGTCCGAAAGGCATGACGGTGTATTCGATGGATCCGTAGCGTGTTCGGAAAGCTGTTTTCGGGTAGTCGGGTGGGTTGAATCGGATATGGTGGTAGCCTCCTCGAAGGTCAATTTTCGAGAAAACGTGGGCTGTGCGCAGTTGGTCGATCAGTTCGTCGGCTCGTGGGATGGGGTAACGGGATTTGATGGTAACCCTGTTCAGTGCGCGGTAATCGACGCACATGCGAAAACCCCCGTCCTTTTTCGGTGTGAACAGTATCGGCGCTGCGAAGGGTGACAAACTCGGGCGAATGAACTCCTTCTTGAGCAGATAGTCTAGCTGCTTCCTCAGTTCGGCGGGTGGGCGTGCAAAGCGCGCAGGCAGGCAGGGCGGCGTAGCTGCAGACAGAGCGCGCGCGGACAGGGCGGCGCTCAGGCAGGGCAGCGGGGCTAGACCGTGAAAATCGACGTGCCTAGGCTCGTTTTGGGCATAATAAATAACCTGACGCGCCTAGGGGCGCGATTCAGGCAGGAACTAACTGTGGGCCCTATTAAATTTCTGGTCCTAAGGACCTACTAGCTCTTAATACCGTACCATGTTAGAATCATGTGAGGAGAAATGGATTGCATTAGGTCAAAGGGGAGGTACAAGTACAATGTCGAGAGATATTGTGTACCCCCTAAGGCTAAACCCACTAGAGCCTAGTACAAGATAAACATATAATGTTTGACAGGGGTTTCTGCGATATACACGCTCTCACGTAGCGGAGGGGGATTCTTGAGGGGGGGGGGGGGGGGTAGTGTAAGGATTTTTCTCGCTATTCCTTACCGCGACCGTCCACATCACGTACAGCAGCAGCCGTTGTTCGCCCATTACTGCTAACGGGGCTTCGCCAACTTCGCGCGCACTGTTTCACCAAACCTCGCACTGCTGGAGCAACCAAGTCGGCCTACGCTTCGGGACTAGCCCGAACGTCGTGCCAGCATAGCACTAGCTAGCTCGCACGCATCGCGTTACCGTTTGCACATTTTCGCGTATAAGTATTCGCTCATGCCTTCGCTCATATTTGGTACTCATTAAACACTCTAGTGCAATCCTCGCTACCTCGATTCATTGCACCCGTAACACCCACCCACCCATCCGCTCGTGTCCCACAGGTAGTTGACTTTTCGCCCACACCACTCAGTTTCGTGGAAGTCACACACTTGTAGGGTTCTTTCGATGGTACTCTGCGAATCCGGTTAATGCTGTATACATACTTTGCTGGAAACACTACCCAATTGATGTTTCCCTATCATGTCAACTGCTCCGTCCAGGGTGCTTAATTCTCGGCGTGTGCTGTGGTCAGCTGTACCTGTATTTTATACACTGAAGGTTTGCTACAAGAAGATTCCGCGGGGGAACCCGCGTGTCTCTAATGATCTGGGCACTCACCTGGAAATCCTGATATTGAAGGATGTCCTAAAGGCGAGCCCTGGTTCGGAAAATGTCAACACAGCACAGTAATGTTGCATCCGTGAGCTGGTGTACAGTGCGAACTCACCCACTGCACGTCACCAACAGTGTCTGCCAGACACACTGTTTTCTGAGACCCCACTGGTTACCAGCCCTTAGCTTTCGCCCAACCGTTCTCCCCGCGCAATCGCTATCTGAGCCTTCGCATGGAGTTGAGAGCCTCAAGCCCCCAAATAGATGGTCCACATTGCTTGGTGCCATGTTTCGTCTACCGTCGTGGATGGCATCGGGTAACACAACCCCCAACTCCCATGCACACATTGCCCTGCCAATTGGCATGTTTGTTTGCATGTACATAGCCATGCTCGTCTAAGAAAATGTAGACACTGAACAAGTCTACTGTACTCTTCTTTCACCATCATCACATGTCCGCATATTATCAACCCCGAACAAATGTCAATAACATGGTGCATATACAAATATAGGACAAACTAATGTATGCAGTCCCGCATAATACAATCGCATGTCACTACTAGCATAAAGGGTTCGCAACTAACCCATAAAGTATTGCTCACGATGACATCAGTACGTTATACAGTATGTCTGACCATGTATCTGGTAGTCCAGGGTTGCACCAGTGGGAGCAGTCGGTACCAGATGCGCCAGTGTAATTCTGCAAATGGGCATCCGGCCGCATAAGGCTAAGCCGTGTCACGTCCATGATCCTGAAGGTGGCTCTTTCATCTGCCTTCACAGGTGGTTTCGTCACTTGTTGAAACACGCCCAGCTGTGTGACCACTGCATCCAGTGCTTCTGTGCCTCTCTCCGCAACAGCCACCTCTGCATTTGTGAACGGCCTCTGTGCTCCTTTGCAGCTCTTCTTTGGGTCGCCACCATAGGCTTCCTCGTAATGGTATGGCGAGTATGAGAGCATGACAGGCACACCACGGTAGTCAGAGTTGATGATGAAGTCCCGCACTGTGGAAAGAGCAACGCTCATGGCCTGGAATGGACTCATGTCACTCTGAAGCACTCCCTTCATGTAGAACTGCCGCAGCTTAGGGGGGGCCTGTTGAGGGGCAGGTATAGACATGCAAGGGTCAGCAAATAGCAGAAGGGGTGGCAGCGTGCGAGCAAGCAGAGAGGTCAAGCATGTGGGGCGCACATTTACAAACCAATGGCCAGTGTTGAAGATGAAGATGTCCAGGAAGCGAAGCACGGATGCCCAAACCTCCTTGGGCTTGTCCAGGTGAATTTTCCAGGTGCCACTGCTCTTGGCAGCACCCTGCAGGGCGGACAGGTAGGGCCACGTTGGAGGGACTCAAGTCAGACGAATGCTGCATGACACGAGTTCAGCGAATAGACGCATGAGTAGCATGCATGGTTGTTGCGTGTGCATGGGCTGACCATGGGCGTGGCGTCAACTAGGAAGACGGCAGAGAGCGAGAGGAAGGTGATGTTGTACGCCGGCACCTTGTACCCGCGCACATCCTGCCCGTACCACGTGGACGTGAAGTCCTGCACACACATGGCAGGCGAGGGGCCGGCACCATAAAAACAAGTGATGATGTGAGGACATGTGCGTGTGTGAGGGGTCGACGGAGAGAGAGAGAGAGAGAGAGAGAGAGAGAGAGAGAGAGAGAGAGAGAGAGAGAGAGAGAGAGAGAGAGAGAGAGCGCAGTCAAGCGAACGCCTTGCACGCAAAGGCGCGGGCGGGCATTGAAGCGGCACACCCGCAGGCTCCGGCGGACCCCTGGCCCCTGCAGCTAGGGGACCTCCTCCACACCCTGGAGTAAGGGGAGGTGCTAGGGGGCGGGTAGATGTAGAGAGGTGTATTTGCATGTTCAACCTTCTGCTCTCCGTTGACCCTCTTGCTTGTACCAATCACCGCATTAATACAAAGGACCGTTTGAGACAGAGAGGGAGAGAGAGATATTCCATTTGAGAGAAAGGCAAGGTTACGTCTCAAAATAATGTCATTGCGAGGTACCTTGGTGGTGGTGAAGGAGGCGATGATGCAGCGGATAGAGCTACCAAAGTTGGAGGAGAAGGAGTCGCCTGAAATGCCAAGCACCTTGTTTCTGAAGCGGCTTGCAAATGCAGCTGGGTCGAACCTGCACAGGGGAGCGAATCTCACTGTTGCGAAATGACCAGGCCCACCATTGCCTAAGAAGCACACTGTGGAATTCCGCAGAGCAATACGGACAAAGTAGACACAGCAAGCTGAAAGGGGTGAGAGAACAGCGTGGTACCATGGAGTGAGAGGCGGACGGCTCACCTTGTCAAGTCGCAGTCGTCGGGCTGCCACTGCCAGTTGAGGTAAGTGGAGTCGGGGCGCTTGTTTTTCTGGCAGTTCTCGTACGCCCGCAGCGTTGTGCATGTGAATCCCGTGTACGGAGGTGGTTCATGTGACGGCACCCATCTGCCCAGGGCATGTGGCATGGAATTTGTTATGAGATGTGGCACGAAACATGCCTTGTGTCATGGCATGTGGCATGGCATGGCATGCACGCACGAGGTGGGTATATGAGGTGCGCACATGTCCGTCATGAGGGGCCTATGGGATGCTGTGCGCCTGCCATGCCTCCACGTGCTGTCTAACCACAACTACCCGCAATCGTCACACAGCTTGCCACAAGCAGTATGCCTGCTTCTTTCTACCCATGTAGCATGGGGGTGACAGCAGCATGAGGCAACGTGCAGGTAGTACGCACCTTCCTTTGGCCACATCGCACCCTCCCACGGATGCGGACGCCGCTTCAGCCGTGCCGCCGCCACTGCCGCTCGTCTCTCCGCCGGTTTTCCCACCTGCGTTTTTTTCGCCGTTGATTCCGCTGCTCGCCCCGCCTGAGATCCCGCCACCCTTTTCCTCGCCGCTGCTTGTGCTGCTGATGTTCTTGCCGGAGCTACTACTTTCCTTTACCGTGCCGCTGGTCGTATTGTTACGCGCCTTGCTCGAACCGCTGTTCGTACTGTTACCGCCAAACGTACCGTTGCTACTGGCCTTGTTCGTACCGCTGTTTGTACTGTTACGGCTTAACGTACCGTTGCTACTGGCCTTGTTCGTACTGCCGCTCGTACTGTTACTGGCCTTAACGGTACCGTTGCTGGGTCTGTTAACAGCATTATTCGTACCGCTGCTTGTATCGTTTCTGGTCATACTCGTACCACTGCTCCCACCGTTACTGGTTGTTGCCGTACTACCGCTCGTATTGCCATTGGTCTTTACCGTACCGTTGCTCGTACTGTTACTGGCATTTGTACTAATACTCGCATTTACCATACCGCTGGCCTTTTCGCTACCGCTGGTTGTATTGCTACTGGGCTTCACGGTACCGCCGCTCGTACTGTTACTAGCCCTGCTCGTACCACTGCTAGTACTGTTACCAGCCTTTACCGTACCGCTGCTCGTACTGTTACCGGTTTGTATCGTATCGCTGCTCGTGCTGTTTCTGGGCTTGCTCGTACCGCTGCCCGTACTGTTACCCGCCTTTACCGTACCGTTATTCGTACTGTCACTGGTTTTCACCGTTCCGCTGCTCGCACCGTTACTAGGCTTGCTCTTACCACTGCCAGTACTGTTACCCGCTTTTACCGTGTCGCTGCTCGTACTGTTACCGGTTTGTACCGTACCGCTGCTCGTGCTGTTACTGGCCTTGTTAGTACCGCTGCTAGTAGTGTTCCCCGCCTTCCCCGTACCGCTGCTCGTACCGTTACCCGCCTTTACCGTACCGCTGCTCGTAGTGTCACTGGATTTTACCGTGCCGCTGCTCGTACCGTTACTAGGCTTGCTCTTATCACTGCCCGTACTGTTACCCGCTTTTATCGTGTCGCTGCTCGTACTGTTACCGGTTTGTACCATACCGCTGCTCGTGCTGTTACTGGCCTTGTTCGTACCGCTGCTCGTAGAGTTCCCCGCCTTCACCGTACCGCTGCTCGTACCGTTACTCGCCTTCACCGTACCACTGCTCGTACTGATAGTGGGCTTGCTCGTACCGGTACTCGTACTGTTACTGGGCTTGCTCGTACCACTGCTGGTACTGCTACTGTTATTGCCGTTGCCCGTACTGCTTGTCGTACTGCTGCTGGCTCTACCTGTAGCAGTGACCGTGCTACCACGGGCGTTGCCAGGCGCCCTGCTCTCGCCGTCGCTCTCTGTCAATGACCCACTGCTTGACTTGACGCCGTTGCTGCTCGTAACACTGCCACTCGTGCTTCCGTGAATGCTACTGTCTAGACTTGTACTGTTTCTGCTTGTGCTGCGCGTGCTCGAGGTCACGGCAGGACTGTTGTCTAAGCGCGTATCGCCAGCCAGGAAGCTTGTTTTTCCCGTCGTGCTGTTGCTGCTCGGCACGTCGAGCGAGCTTGCAGCCGTCGACGCGTATGCTCGAGCGCTCGGCATCGCACTGGGTGCCACATCCGCCGCGGCGCTCTCACCGTCCAGCAGGCAAGGGTCCCGCGTTTTCATGGGAACTCCGACGACCGGCGAGTTCGAACTCGCAAGGAAGAGCGCCACCAAGAGCCTTAGAAGATTAATTGTAGACATCGTCCTTCGTGATCCAAGAAACTGATTGAGGATGTTCTGAATGTACTTCAGCCTAGGTGAATTTCTGTTTTACGATGAGCAATAAGGACGCGGTAAAAGTGGAGAATTGATCGCCTCAGGATCGTTTATTAGCGCGGTTGTAAACGGTTGTGTACCTTCCGTATGCAAAACGCGGGGTTTCAGTGCGGTGACCGGATAGATCTCCCCCCGATCGAGCACTTTTACCGCGTCCTAAGCAGGTTGAGGCGGCATTTTTCAGCCTTCCAGTTCAGAAGGCACCTTGGTGCTTCAACATTCGCTGCCTGCCTGCAATGTGCTGTCGTGTGTGGAGGCGCCTGACACTGCCCAGGTTTAAAATTTCGCGCCTTTTGGTGTCCGTCCGCAAACAACAGAGCTGACAACCACGACGGATTGGAAGCAGGGCTGTAGAAGCAAGGGCATTTGCCAAAGCTGAAGTATACATTTGCAAGTACTGTTTGGACTTGCACTGTAGCCAGGGAAAAAATCGCCAGAACGAAACAACTGAGCGTGGCGAGAGGTTTGGCGAAACATTGCAGCTTTGAGGAGTTCCAAACACGGGAAACTCCCCCGTCACCCAACCTTGCAGTCACACTTCCACTAGGAACCATGATAAGCGACTAATGTACGCTAAGCATAGATAGAGGAACCGGGGCGCGACAAAGAACATGCGGAGCATCGAAACCGCTCAGATATTCTCATGTGAGATGAGTTTAGGTACATTATAGGCTTGTGCGAGTGGGAAAATACATCTAGCTTGCCCGCCAGCTCCTTTCCACTGCTGCGCCGTTCAGCGGCAATCGGAGAGGGAAAGGCTCTGCATTCGTCGAGCGCGTCGTGCTGTATTGATGGGCCCCGTCGAAGCCCTGTCAAGGGCGCCTCGACGGGTTGCATCACCACGCTGGGTCGGTGCGATCGAGTAAGCCGTAAAGCGATTGAAAATTACGGGGCCGACGGCGGGATCGCATCGTCCATGCGTTGGCCACGCGGCCACTCTCAACACCCGCTCGGTAGGCATTTCCCGCTTAGCGCCTCACCCACTGTGCGGGTCTCCCGCTTACCGCCTCCAATGCTGGGAGCCTCTCCCGCTTAGCGCCTCACCCTCTGCGCGCCATGCCGCTTAGCGTATCACTCTGCGCGCCTTTCCCGCTTAGCGCCTGACCCGCTGCGCGCCTCTCCCGCTTAGCTCCGCAACCGCTGCGCGCCTCTCCCGCGCAACGAATCACCCGCTGCGCACCTCTCTCGCGTAGCGCCTCACCTCCTGCGCGCCTTTCCCGCGTGTCGCCTCACCCTCTCCCGCTTAGCGCCGCACCCGCTGCGCACCTTTCCCGCTTAGCGCCCGCGTGGCGCCTCTCCCGCTAAGCGCATCCTCTTCTAATTACCCCCCCTCCCCCCTTCTCCCCCTCACTACCCCCCCTACTCCCTCTCCTTATGCCTCCCTTCTCCCCCTCATTTCCCCCCCTTCTCCCCCTCTTTTTCCCCCCTTCTCTCCCTCATTTCCCCCCCTTCTCCCTCTCAGTTCCCACCCTTCTCCCCCTCATTTCCCCCCCTTCTCCCTCTCAGTTCCCACCCTTCACCCCCTCATTCCCCCCATTCTTCCCCTCAGATCCCAACCTTCTCCTCATTCCCCCCATTCTTCCCCCTCATCCCCCCCCCTTCTTCCCCTCAGCCCCCCCCCCCCCCCTTCTCGCCCTCATTTCCCCCCCTTCTCCCTCTCATTTGCCCCACTGCTCCCCTTCATTTCCCCTCCTGCTCCTTCTCACTTCCCCCACTGGTTCCCCTCATTTCCACCCTTGCCGCCTCTCACTTCCGACCTTGCTCACTCTCATTTCCCCCCTTGTTCCATCTCATTTCGCCCCCTGCTCTCACTGACATATTCCCCTTCTCCCTCTCACTTCGCCCCCTGCTCACCCTCATTCCAGCCCTTCTCCCAATCATTTCCCCCCTTGCTCCTCTCATCTCCCCCCCTTCTCCCTCTCATTTCCCCCCTTGCTCCTCTCATCTCCCCCCTTTCTCCCTCTCATTTCCCCCCTTGCTCCTCTCATCTCCCCCCCTCCTCCCTCTCATTTCCCCCCTTACTCCTCTCATCTCCCCCCCTTCTCCCTCTCATTTCCCCCCTTGCCGCCTCTCACTTCCACCCTTGCTCACTCTCGCTTCCCCGCTTCCCTCTCACTTCCACCCTTGCTCACTCTCGCTTCCCCGCTTCCCTCTCACTTCCACCCTTGCTCTCTCGCTTCCCCGCTTCCCTCTCACTTCCACCCTTGCTCACTCTCGCTTCCCCGCTTCCCTCTCATTTCCCTCCTTCACCCCTTCATTTCCCCCCCTTCTCCCCTTATTTTCCCCACCTTGCTCCCCTTCATTTCCCCCGCTTCTCCCCTAATTTTCCCCACCTTGCTCCCCTTCATTTCCCCCCCTTCTCCGCTTATTTTCCCCACCTTGCTCCCCTTCATTTCCCTCCCAGCTCTGGCATAGCCCCACTGCCCTCCCGTCCTTTTCATCTTCCCTCCCTTACAGGGTGGATCCCTTGCAAAATACTGCCCCCCACTCCCTCCCTTTCATTCTCCCTTCCACGCTCTCCCATCGCCATGCCTTAATTTCTCATCCCCCCTCCTTCCAGGGTCATCTCACCTCCCATGAGATCCCACTCGCTCCTTCAGTCCCTGCCCATACTGCCGCTGCTGCTGCCTTTGCCGGAGCTGCCCCTGCTGCCACACCCAGTGTTCCTTCCTTTGGTGTTCCCCCCGGAGCAGGGGGTAGCTCAGGAAAGGAGGGGAAGGCATGGTGGAGGAGGGTATGAGACATGAGGCGAGGAGCAGTCAGTGGGAAGGAGTGTTCGCCCCACTCCTTTGACTTTGGACTGCCGACGCAGGCTGTTGGCCCCAACCCGTGTGTTTCTGCAACTGCCCCGGTGCTGACCATCCTTCTGCTCCTGCGGATTGAGCAGCCATGTCAGCAGTGGACGGGGGAGCGAGCAGGGTGTGAGGGTGAATGGGGAGGAGTAATGGCAGGTGCAGGCAACTGGATCCAGTTGCCAAGGTTTCAGTTGCCCCTGCTGTCACTGCTGCGTCAGCGGCAGCTACAGCATCGGGAACATTGGGTTTGTGATGGGGAACATGGGCTGAACCTCTGGTGCCCCTGCATATGACATGCAGGTGAGGGCGGGGTCAAGTGTGGGGCGGGCGGATAAGTCCATTGCCGGCTGTTTGATGTGAATCTTAGTTTGATGTGCACTGCTACCGCTCATTTCAAACCTCGCGTCACCACTTCCCTTTTCAATATGTGATCAGGTAGCACTGAAGCAGCAACAGGAGGTGCAGGCGAGGCTCGATGAGGAAGCGAGGCGGAGGGAGAGGGAGGAGGAGGAGTTGGCGAGGCTGCTGCGGCAGATGGTGCAAGCGGGCTCGACTCATCTCAAGTTTTGTCCCATCGTTCACGCCTCTCAGGTACTGTGCGCGTCCCGTCGCATGCCTTGGGACTTGCCTAGACAACCGTTTTCACGCCACTTGGATGACTAAGGGCACTCTCTCCAGGCTTTGCTTGAGCTCACCCTGATATGTGCCTTCTTTTTCCCCTTCCTCGTCCCTTTCTCAGCCCCGACCCCCCCACTCCTCTCACCGGCAGGTCCACCAAGCAGCACACAATGCATCGCTCCCCTCTGCTGCACACCAACGCCAGGCACGCAACAGCAGCCGGCAACTTGTGCGGCAGCTCCCTGCGTATTTATTACTATGCATTTGTGATTCAAGAAGCATGCATACACTCCCAAATTTAGTACATTTTTGGCACTTCAGGGCCAAAATCAAGCTCGTAGCCTCACAACATGTTTTATAAAACGAGTCCTTACAATTGTATCACTAAATACATAACCTTTATCACCCAACCCTGGATTCCTCGATACCAATCACGTGACTAGTCATATGCCCTTGCACGAATGCAGGGAATGGAAGGGAATGGCAGGGTATGGAAGGAAAGGTATGGCAGAGTATGGCAAGGTATGGCAGAATGAGGGACGGGCTTGGCTGGCGTATGGAAGGGTATGGGAGGAGATGGAAGGGTGTGGCAGTGTATGGCAGCGGATGGATGAGTATGGCATGCGACCATCCAAGGGTACGGTAGGGGTTAGAAGCGTATGAGAGGGGAAGAGGGGGAAAATGAGAGGAGATGGGGGGAAATGAGCGGGGGGGAAACGAGATGGAGAAGGGGGGGGAATGAGAAGGAGCACGTGGGGAAAGGAGAGGGAGATGGGGGGAAACGAGAGGGGAAGGTGGGGGGGATGAGGGGAAATGAGAGGGAGATTACGTGGCATTTAACTGAGTGGTTAAGGGGGGAATGAGAGGGAGCAGGGGGGAGAATGAGAGGGATAAGGGGGGGAAATGAGAGGAAGAAGGGGGGTACATGAGCGAGAGAAGGGGGGACATGACAGGGAGCAGAGGGGGGAATGAGAGGGAGAAAGGGGGGGAATGAGGGGCTTCATGGGGGGAATGAGAGGGAGAAGGGGGAGATATAAGAGGGGGAAGGGGAAGAAATGAGAGGGAGAATGGGGGTAAATGAGGGGGAGAAGGGGGGGACATGAGAGAGAGAAGGTGGGGACATGACAGGGAGCAGGGGGGGAGATGAGAGGGAGAAAGGGGGGGATGAGGGGCTTCATGGGGGGAATGAGAGGGAGAAGGGGGGGGGGAATGAGGGAGAGCATGGGGGGAAAATGGGGTAATCGGGAGGCGGGAAGGGATAATCGGGAGTGGGAAGGGGAAGCGGGGAGGCGGGAAGGGGAAACGGGGAGGCGGGGAAGGGGTAATGGGGAAGCGGGAAGGGGTAACGGGGAGGAGGGAAGGGGTAATGGGGAGCGGGAAGGGGAATTGGGGAGGCGGGAAGGGGTAATGGGGAGTGGGAAGGGGAAACGGGGAGGCGGGAAGGGATAATGGGGAGCGGGAAGAGGAAATGGGGTGGCGGGAAGGGGAATTGGGGAGAACGGAGAGGTGCGAAGGGGTAATGGGGAGCGAGAAGGGAAAACGGGGAGGCGGGAAGGGGAAACGGGGAGGCGGGAAGGGGTAACGGGGAGGCGGGAAGGGGAAACGGGGAGGCGGGAAGGGGTAATGGGGAGCGGGAAGGGGAAACGGGGAGGCGGGAAGGGGTAATGGGGAGCGGGAAGAGGAAATGGGGTGGCGGGAAGGGGAAACGGGGAGGCGCGAAGGGGTAATGGGGAGCGGGAAGGGAAAACGGGGAGGCGGGAAGAGGTAATGGGGAGCAGTTGTTTCTGATTACCCTCGCGACCTCAATTGCGGCTGCCGCCGCTACTGCGGAAACGTGGTAGCGAGGCCGCGCGATTGGGAAGCGACTGTGATCGTGCGTGTTCGGCAGTTTGAGACGCTGCGTGCGCGTTCACGGTGGCGTGAAGAGGCCGCGTGGTGAGGCGACGCGACGGACGACGAGGCGAGGCTGTGAGAAGGGGTCCGGCGGGCTCGCCGTGTTAGAGGGCGAACTGACGAGTGCTCGGACGTGTAATTACACTAAACTGCCCCACGCGTCTAAGTTTGTGTCGGAAACGGGAGTGATTTGCGCTGGCTGTTGTCGCGATGTGCTTTGCTACGATTTATGCTGCCTGTTGAGCGTAGTGGCGTAGATCTCACATAGACTGGATTTCGTATACTTTTGTTATTCCAAAAATTTTGAATCACCAGTGAGCCCTGGGTGTCGGGGAGATCACCTCCCTTGTGAAGCGAGTGAAACTAGCTGTTGCTGGGTTACCAATCTTTCAGATTTCAAAACTTTTGAACCTCCCTTTTTCAAATGTATACGAAAGCTTTAATGCCCTGAACATTCCGGCCTACGTTTCTAGCAGCTCGACCATTTAAAGTGCTAGATCGGCATTGCACCCTTGACAGTTAGGGGCCTCGTTTGGGCCTTCCCCTGAATCAAAGGTTTGGTTTCTGTTTCGAAGGACCCCCCCAAACCCTAAATTCCCGCCGCCTCCCCCCCCCCCCCCCACCACCCCCACTCCCCGATGTTTTTGCCTATGGCGTTTTAGGTAGATGAGGCTGTAGGTGTGTAGATGAGTAGTTCGTGTGTACCTTTTCTGCCAAGTGATGACATCTCCTGTGGTACATTAGGCCTCAAGTACACTTTCCAAAGATGCCCTGATTTCAAGTTTTGAATTTGTCCTGCGCCCATGAAAATCAGGGCCAGAATTCGAGCAGCTTGGGACTCAAAGTTTTGGTCCAAGGGACTTCGACAGGCCGAAATTATGGGGTGTAAGGAAAATTAATTTTCCTTAATTCACGCCCCTGGTTACCGCGTACATTATCAAAGTAACGAACGAGAATGAATGAACTATGAAAGAGTTGGGTACAAGTACTAACCCTAATTGGGTTGTACCCCTTGTGGGCTACCCCACTACAGCCTACACAGATGTATAAGCTATAATGTTCTGACACACCCCCATAGGCAAAGTGGGGGAGAATAAGTGGTCACAAGACCAGTCAAGAAAAGCAAAGCAAGCTCAGGGTGGATCACAAAGTCACCACACAGTCCGAGCACAAGCAAAGGGCCACAAGGCCAGTTCACATGCAGAGTTAGATATAAAAGAGAACAAACAATACAGTGATCATACCCTAGCAAGTGCAAGCATGCAGGTATATATATAGATCACAGTACAAGCAAAGTCACGCAGTAAGCAAGTGACGCAAAGTAGGCACAAGGCCTAACACAATAGAGAAACGCTGATGATCATCAGGCGGAAGTGCCTTGGTGAATATATCAGCAGTGTTGGCCCTAGTGGCCACGTACGCAAGACGAAGCTGGTCACGCTGCTGCAACTCTCGAGCAAGGAAGTATCGCAGAGCGATGTGCTTCGTTCTGTGCTCCAGTCTGTGCTCCTGTCACAAGGCAATCATGGCCTTGTTGTCTACGTACAGAATTGGAGGCGAACGAGGCCGCTCTCCCAAGTCAGTCAGCAGGTAGGTGAGCCAGCGTAGCTCCTGTGCAGCCATGGCCCCGGCGTAGATCTCAGCCTCACAACTGGAGCTGAAAACCGAAGACGAGCGGGTAGACCGCCAGGAGACAGAGCCAGAGCCAAGGCTGAAGGTGTAACCCTGTGACGACCGCTGCGTAGCTGAGTCGTCAACCCAGGAAGCGTCTGCGTGACCGGTGAGGACAACTGGACCCCGTCCTCCAAGCACGAGCCCCATGCCCGACGTACTGCACAGGTAACGCAGTACCCTCTTCGCAGCATCCCAGTGCACCTTTTGGTACCTACCGCGAGCCACGTAGCGAGCCAGGAGGCTGAGAGGGTACGCGAGGTCGGGTCGAGTGCACGTCATCAGGTACATGAGGCAACCCACAAGCTCTGGGTACGGACCACTCGGCTCTACGGACTCGTCCGAAGGTGGAGCTGAGTGCGAGTGGCTGGTAGACAGAGGAGTGGGCTGTGGCGAGGAGAACTGGAAGCCGAAGCGCTGAAGGACCTGGTGCACCATGTGTGACTGCGTCAGGGTAGTGGTGCGCCGAGCTCTGTCCCGGGTGATCTGCAAGCCAAGATAGCTGCGCAGTTCACCCAGGTCAGTGCAGGTGTGTCTCTTCTGCAGCTCCGAATTCGCAAGAGTCAGTGCCTCAGTGTCAGCAGTGGCAAAGATGAGGTCGTCGACGTAGACAAGGACGTAGAACGGCGGCAGCGAGGTGTCGGTGCATAAAAACAGCGACGGGTCAGCAGTAGCAGGAGAAAACCCAAGAGCCGCAAGTGTAGTCCTCAGTGTGTCGTGCCACTCGCGAGGCGCCTGACGGAGAACGTAGACTGGCCGCCGAAGACTCCAGTGAGTACCTGCAGGAAAAGACTCAGTGAAACCAGGTGGGCGGCGCAACCAGATCTCCTCGTGCAGGCTGCCCTGCAGGAAAGCTGTGCTGAAGTCCAGAGAGTGCAACTCGTAGTCACGCTGAGCAGCGACGTGCAGCAACACCCGAAGAGTAGTTATCTTTGGGGTGGGGGAGAAGGTCTGGAAGTAGTCAACTCCCTGTCGCTGGCTGAAGCCTCGAGCAACGTAACGCGCCTTGAAGGCAGGTGGAGAACCCGGCGGCCGTTTCACCCTGAAGATCCACATGCCATCAACTATGTTCGCCCCAGGTGGGGGAACCTCGTCGACGTAGGTGCCTGTGGACTTCCAGGATGCCATCTCGGCATCCATGGTTGCCTGCCACTTAGAGGAGTATGGACCCGTAATCGCCTCTGCGTAAGAGCGCGGGGTCGGGATGTCTGGAGCATCCGGGTCTCCCTCAGGGGCAAGCAGCATGGAAGCGAAACGAGGTACAGCAGCTGCAAGACACTCAAATTCCTCCTGCCTGTCCTCAAGGACGTCCGTGCCAAGAGCACACTCACCCCCGACGGACGGAGGACTGGCAGACGCAGACTCAGCAACAAGAGCAGTGGCATAGTCTAGACGACAGGCAGCAGCAAAGTCAAGCAGCTCAGCAACGAGAGCAGACTCAAAGTACGGGTCAGTGACAGCAGTGGCGAGGAGACGAGAGACAGTGGGACTGGCAGCACGAGCGCGGTCAGACTCCGGGTCAGGGACCTCAGGAAGAGAGGACTCAGGAGGAGCTGGCAGAGGAACGCGTAGAGGAACAGAGGAAGGACGAAGGGTCATAGCGTGCGTGCCAGGGACAGGAGGAGGACGCGAACAAGGAAGGCGACGAGCAGTGCGAACAGGCGAGACAGGACGAGACGCAAGCTCACGACGCTCTGTAAGACCGCCAGACTGCTCAGTGTAAGGAGAAGGAGCAGGCAGTGGAGAGGCCGGCTGTAACGGCGGCTGCGACTGGTCAGGCGGGGGACACAGGAGGGGAGGAGTAAGGGCAGCAGAAGGCGGGGTACCAAGAACCTGCTGGAGTAGGGGAACGAAGTACGGTCGCGGCCGCACAGTGCCACCAGGGTCAACAGTTCCAGCTCCTCCAGCTCCAATACCTCCAACACCAGGGCCTCCAACTCCAGCGTCTCCTGCGCCAGGGCCACCAAGTCCAGCTCCTCCAGCTCAACCGCCAACAGCGCAAAAAGGAACAGACTCCGTAAGGTCTCCAGCTCCAGCACCCTCAACACCACCAGTCCCGGCAGCTCCAGTACCCCGGGTACGAGCACCTCCAGGACCAGTGGTCGCAGTACCTCCAGTAACACCAGCTCCAGCAGCAACTCCAGAACCGCCCGCTCCAGCAGCGCCAGCACCTCCAGCTCCTAAATCTCCACTCCTAAGGCACGTACGCCAAACAAACCACTCACGCAACTGCTGCGGAGACAGTCTCGGCGAAGCACCAGCAGAACCTCCAGACG